AGACGAACGTTTTGGGGGCATATAGTCGTTGGTATGTCCAGGGGAGGGTAGGTTAATTTTTGAGCAGTGTTCTGTAAAGAGAGCTAGCCTCTCGAATGCTAGGTCCCGTTTGTATTCTTGGTGAGATGTTATTGTAGTCTGAGTTGCAGAACGTTCTCTATCTCAGTTAAGGGAGGAGAACTAAACAATATTGTTTTGATTTGATCTATTTATCTCGTGTTCATTCTGGTTCCTATCAAACTTAAAGAATGAAAATGAAAAGGGTCAATTTTTGGTTCAAAGAGAAAAAAGAACACATGAAGCACTGATCCCATGTTGGCAACAGTGAAAACAGAAGCATCTACATCTGTTTCCCAATGATAAAATTCAAATATAGCTGTAGAGGACTGGTTTGGAATAACTTATAAGTAACTTTTCAATCATAAATTACAGAATACGAGATAAGGATGTGATGGGAGTTTTGTCTCAACTCACACAAAACGCACTTATAAGTGTTTTTGAATGCTATCCCAAACAAGCCCGGAGTCACAAGTTTTTTGCACTGCATTCCAGAAGTACCTAATATTTATAAGCAGGTATCAATTATCAATAAATTTCTTCACTCCCTTGCACATCGTCAAAGAGAAACTAGAATTTATTCTACTATTTGGAAGTTTAAATCTGCATATTAGAAGCAAGTTTAAAAAAAAAAAAAAAGCATACATAAACACAGCCAACCTGATCGCAAGGACATCATATAGAGGATCATCCACTATAAAGCCAGCCAACTTCCACGCAGGATCTTTAGTATGGACTCTATTATAAAGGGCTCTCATCCATCTATGTGAATCCAAACTTGAAAATCTTGGTGTTACTATCCAAGCCACTGGTATGGTCTTCTTGTCAGAGTTGAATACCAGAAGACTGTGAATGGGGTACTGGATGCATTAGTAAATGTGCTTCCAGTTAGTTTCCGTAAGACTAATAATCTGTGATAAAATGTTTTTACGATTTTCATTACTTCAGATCAAAGAACAGAAGTCAACAAACCTTCAATTTGTTTGTACCAAATTTTGAATCTGAGATAAGGAGACTGCGGTTTCCAAATCTAATCATCTGTTGCAACTGCCACTCAGTTTGAATGCCTAAAGTGAAAGGGTCTGAATCAGAGAAATCTTCATAAAACAATACATGATTCTGGTGGCTTTCAACCCACAAGCTGATACTGACAGCATCATCAGGATCAAGTTCATATGTAGACTGGCGTATTGCCGTTCCTGCCGTCTAACATAACGATGGGTTAAAAGGTCATCACGGTTAGATGGACCACCTTGTCTCCCCACTGTTTCATTGTGCCTCTGCATAATGGTTTCCACCGAGACACCAACATAGAGAAGAGATAACACACGGAGTCTAAGATCTTCTGAGATGTATGGAGCAAACATAGCACGTGTTCCATCAGCCATCTTGTCCTGAGGACCATGGCATGGCAATCCCTTTTTATCTACATGCTTATCATCATTAAAAATGACAAGGGCAACTGTTGGTTCAGCTATCAAGCGTTTCACAATAAAGTGACATGTGCATCCCCTCTTAGTATTTGGTCGACCAGCATTTTTTTTCTTTGGAACATAAGTACTCCGACTGGGCCGCACAATGCCACCCTTCCTGTGGTCATCAGGACCAAAGGAACACCAATACCTACACACCAATAATAAGATTAATTTCTAAACCCAGGGGATAGTAGAAGTTGGAGCATCGACTAAGAGTTGTTTACCAAATAATTTTGCAACGTACAGAATATATTCTAGTATGCCATCAACCTTTGGCTTGTAAGGCATTGATGGAGGCCTCCTGCGTCTGGCTTCGACATGAAATCGTGTGGGACAATCTTTGTTGGAGGATTCACCCCGAACAAAATCATCAACTCTGGCAAATGGGATTAAAGCTACTCTATCTAATTTATCATGCCAACCTTCAACTTTTGACCACACTAGATCAAGAGAAGAAAACTCCAATGTAGGAGGATTTTGTACAGGAAGAGAAAGAATTGCATCCCATCTAGCCATCTTTTATCGAAGCCAAAGAAAATTCACCTGCATAGGGATAATTAGGATGAAACGTATTACTAAATGGACTTGCATGGTCCAATAGCCAAAAGAATCATAATCAGCATAAATGAAATGTTCCTAACATCTCTCACCATGCACGGCATCAAAATCAAAACTTAAAAAGTATCAATGAGAGAACGATGGCAAGATCCTTTTAATGATTGATTGTTAACGTAACTTTCAAGATTCAAGGAAGGCACGTATTCAGATGAGCTATGACCAACTCAAAATGCAAACAACTGAAGAAGGAAATGCTCAGGAAGAAAGAAAATGAAACATGGAGGTGAAACGTATCAGTTGACCAAAAATAAGAAGTATCAATACTGACAAGTGATAACTAACACCCAACGGTAAGGATATAAAGGAAGCGAAAGGTCATCTTCGCAAGCGAAACCAATACATTCACGCGTATTCGAGCAACGAAAATTCGTCCAGTACACTCTATTTCCAACAAAATTTACAATCATAGCAGAAAAATGAGAAAATAATAATTGAGGAAGAGCGAGAATAATTGAATAATGAGGGGCAAAGGGAAAAATAACAGAAAATCTATAAAAACATGAGCTGACATTACCTTCGTAGCAGATACTTGCGGCGGCGGCGGCGGCACGATGGCGGGTAGTGGCGGCGGAAGAGAACAGAGGTTGGAGCTACGAGAGAAATAGAAATGAAAGTGCGAAGAGAATGGAGGCCGCAGCACCAAGTGCACAGTGGAGAGAGGTCGCTTTTGCTGGCTTGCTTGTCTGTAAGGTACAGCGTCAGCGTGCGAGTCTTCTTCAAATTTTCCTTTTTAACTTTTCTTTTTTAATTGTTTAAATTTTAATAAACCAATGTTTGCTTTCTTTTTGTTTCTTTAATTTTATAAAATTGTAACTTTGTTTCTATATTTTAAACATGGTCCAAAATTTCTTTTCCTACTCTACTCTATTTAAAAAAAAAATTGTCTCAAATTAACAATATGTTTGGTTGAGGGTCGAATGAGAATTTTTATTAAGTAAATAAATAATAGATATAGAATTCAATAAATTATTTGGTTTATCATTAAAACTTAGTGGAACTATGACATGGGAGAGCAAAATAACATCACTTTAACAAAATTAGGAATACATCATTCCATGCTCTTCCGAAACAAGGAACTAAAGTAAATTAAAATTTTTATATAAGCTAGGCTTAAATGAATATATGCCAAACTAGACTAAATAAATAAATAGATGAAAATAATTTTTTGAAAAAATAAATTAATTGCAACAATTCCTGAGTTTATTTAGTTTCTATTTGTCTCTGCACCAAAACTTAAGTGGGCTGAGCCCAATAAGAAAGAGCGTACATCTGGACATGAGGGTTGGTCAGGCCCATATTCATCAGGAAGCACACTAATTAGTTGTTTTTATGAAACCAGCGGAGCCTTCTAATGTGATTCTTTTTTTATTTATATGAAATTCTCAAGTGATTCTTAACACGTACAAGAGTTATGCGTTTGAAGCTCATGGAATGACTATTGCTTGGAAACTTCGTTTGAAGAATATTACTCCTCTGCTCTTTAATGTAAAACCTACTTAACTAATTTGATTAAGTTAGAAAAGTTTAGTATTTTTACTTTTATCATAAATATAACATTTTTTCTAAAATATCCTAATAATTTTTCTTAGTATCCTCCCTCCTTCTCCCACTCAATTATAGCAGAGGAAGTATCAATAGGGGTAATTTGAAAAAAATTAATAAATATGAAAAATGGGTCTTATATTTATAATTAAGACCAACTCTACAATTATATCCTACATTAAGAACTGAAAAAAGGTTTTTCTTTTAATCTGATTACAAATCGATGGTTGATATATTAACAATGACTTAATAAAAAAAAAAAAAAACAATGACTTAATATCCAAGTATGTATTCTCCACAACTGAGACGTGTAATAAAGAGATTGGTTGGCATAGTCCTAAAAGAACATTGATCTCGATTGACTTTTAGCGGCATTTTGGGGAAATGGTGATCTGAAGTTTTTAAATTATCCAAGTTGAGATACCTGTATGTATCTCCAATAGATAATATGCCCAGCTAGTTCGCGTAATTTGCTCATGAGCCGACCATTTGAAAAAGTGCTAGTTTTTCTTCATTTTGGTTTTAAATTTAAAAAAGAATTCGAGAACCATATAGTAGAGACACAATTGCAAATTTTTCTTTGTACGTTAGGCTTGAAAGGAAAAAAGAAAAGGGGAGGGGGTTTTGGCTTGATTTTTGATTTTACAACTTACAGGACAAAACCATCCACACCATATGTTGACCAAATTCAACAGAGTTCAAAACACACACTTAGAGATAGAAATTAACCATGTAATCACAGTTAAAGAAGTCAAAAATAGTCTTTTTATATTACTTTCTGATTTAAAGAGATAATTTGATCTTTCCACGTTATACTCGTTATGATCCTCCTACTTTTTCTTTTCCCTTTTTTTTTTTAAAACCAAACATTGCTTTAACAGATATCATTACATTCTCTACGAGACATCTGATAGCCAGACAAAGCAAGGATCATCCTATCCTCTTTCCTTTTGTAAATAACAGGGGGTCCCAAAGAAAGAGAATACTCTTTTTAGGGCTAAGGGTAAGCTGGGAATAACACAAACTACGATGGCATCCTTGGAAAGGTCTCTAATCCATTCAAAACACCAGCAGATCCACTCCGCCTTGCACCAAACGTGGCCCAAGTTCCCAAAAATTTAGAGAGAGAATAGGACACGCACGTCACATCTCATTTTGCATGGCAAGCATTGACTTGTCGTAAAATATGATACGTCCACTGGACACACACCATGCACGTAAACATTGGTGTCCGATTTTCGACTCAACCTACATTTATAAAGCGATTAATTTCCCAGATTGGGAGACTCTGGTGCATAAACAACATCAAAAGCATAAATCTGGTGAAATTGAGAAATGAAAGATTACACCAACAAATCAAGTCATAAATAGGCAAATAAGCTGGCATTACATCCGAAACATCTTACTCGATATACTGCATGCCGCAGCTTCTACCTAAATCAGCCGGGGAAATTGAAGATACTCTACCTGACAAAACCTAGCTCCAAGTCACTAACCTGTCAACAACTACCTCCTATGGTGATAGAGAAAACATAGGTCTCTCATTCTGAAAGCAAATCTAGATGATAACATTAATAAAAACAAACACTAGAAACATAAACTAAACAGCACAGTCATGAATAATCTTTGTTGTCAGCAGGACTTTTTGAGCATCATCTTTAGCTATCTGGCAGGGAGATGTTAATGTCGGTAGCTGACTGTCTCAAATCTGGCATAGTGTGCATGTTCACCCAGTTTTCTCGTCGGAATGATGGGGGAGAGGTTATGTTGGAGTTCAGGTTTCCAGAATTTTGCAGGACATGTCCACCACCCAAGCCATCTTCCTTTTCAGCATTAGTTGAGGGAGGTGCAGAAGAAACAGCGACGGTTGGTGGGGTAGCAGTAGCCGGAGGTGTGTAATCAGGTTTGGACTTCTTTGGTTTTGGGTCTTGCTGATTGCTTGGTAGAAAACTTCCCACCACCACCTGATATAAGCAAAAGCCGTCTTAAGTGATCAGTCATCTTGACAAAGAAATGTGATTCATTTACGAGAAAAATAATATCTGCGATGCAACAGGTGCACTGTGCCGTTCGTCAAGGTATGCTAGATTGCCAACTACCAGCGGGCAATGGGTATGCAATATATTTCATTTTCTCATGTTCAGGGAAAAAAATATACAGGGCCAAGCCGAGCCAATCTTAAGCCTACGGAAGAGGTCTAGGGTCTATATACTCAAGATAAATTATTTAGATCTTCATTCTTTGTTTTATCATTTTCACTTTGCTACAAAGACCGGTTTAAACAATCTTACTGCCCCAAATATGATAAAACATGCTCAAAAAATCAGCAGACCCGTAGATGAAAGTGTTAAACCCCCTCCCTTTTTCCCATTTCAAAAAGAAGGGTGTATTTACCTGCACAGGACTGGCAGCAATAAGAAGACCAGCAACCCCACCGCCTACAACACGACCATCAGGGCTTGCCAAAGAGACACTCATTCCACCTGACCTGCTTCTTGTTCCTTGGTTGTCAGTAGGCATGAATGATCCAGACAACGATAGTATCTCAAAGCGACCCTACAAGAAAATATATGTTTTCAGAACCCGGAACCATAGCATCCATTATGCATAGATACCAGTGATATAAAATGTACACTGGGCAAGCCATATGCGAACTTTAATATCAAGTAGCAGCAACGAAAAAATAATTGCACACCCAGGCTTTAGGTTCATTAATTGCAGCCAATCCTAACATCTTATTTTTCTTGTCCACAGTAAAACATACATCTTCAAATCTTCTTAAACTGCATAAGATCTCCCATCCTTAAACAAAAAACTTAGCTCAGCTTGTGTTCCATCCATCCCACTTGATTCTCAGTTCAAACCTCTAGGCATTTGATCTTTAAATAAGGAAGAAATTTTGATTCCAAAAATAACATAGCAACAACAGCATAGAAACAAAAAAGCATGCCAGACACAGAAACACAGTTGAAGATGCTTGCAATACACAGTAACCAGACACGGTAGAGAAAAATAAATCAATTGACTGCCAACAACTTTCGACAACATGATCAAATTTATAACAAACCACGTCTATGAATACAGCTTCATACCATATCAATGACTTAACATTCAGAATTTCATAATTGATTTACTAAATAAAAATGTCTGCGAAACAACTTTCACATAAATTTAAGATTTCCATAATAACTTCTCAATTTCACAGTGCTAATGATAAATTCTACAATTTCACAACGGACTCCCCCTAGATTACATTCAAGTAGTTAGTTTAGAATCACTAACATTTACATTGCATATGCATGCAGAATTTATGCAAGCAACGGAATTTTCAAACATGTCAAGAAATATTGGTTTATCTCTGCGTGTATAGGGGGAAAAATTGAACAAATCGAAAATTGCAACCCATCCAATTAGAATTGCATTGACATTTATATAATGATATCATTTGCTGCCGCACCTCATAGGTCAAAGTACCCCCTGAAGAATCAGGCTGACGTAGGGTAACATTAGAAATCACACCAGTAGCAGAGAGGATGCATATAGCCCGGGGTCCTTGTTGAGAAAAAGATATAACCTTCATTGTAATATCCTGCATGAACCAAAGAGAAAGCAGAATTAAATTAATCAATCATATCATAGCCAGAAAGAAGTAGCATTATGCGAAAAAAATGTGTTTTTCCCCGGAAGCAAGTATACCTGAGCCAAATGTTTATATCAAAAGACATAGAAGAGGCAGATCCTGCCCTCTCTAGTCAATAATTGCTCTATGCATCTATGTACAACTTCCATTTACAGTGCCTTAACATGTGTGATGGAATTACATTCCTTTCTTGACATTAAAATGTGACAGCATCAATTTATGTGACTGTCTACTAATGCTCGTTTTAACATGAAAATATTGAAATAGATATATGGGGAACAAAATAAATTTGAATCTCTCTTTCATGAGATTCAAAATAAACAAATGGATAAATAAAAGAAAACATATTTCCTTGAGATGGTAGAGGGGGCAAGCTATAGCTATTGTTTTCATCCAACAATCGAGAAAGCAATCCCATACACAACGCTTATTTTGAACTTAGCCAGTGAAAGCCAAAGGCATAGCTCTGTAGAAGTCTGAAATACATACATATTTATATATTATAAGCTCTTGAGAGCAAGTTTAACCTAAAACTAATGGAGATAAATTTGAAAGCAAAATAATATGCAATAAATTAAAGACCCCCCCCCCCCAAAAAAAAAAAAAAGAAAACAAAGGAAAAAAAACCCAACCCTAGGCATGCATACCTCGCCAGTATTGACTGTGATGATATGAGGCATGAAGTTTGTACCAAGGGAGCACGCATTCAAATCACCTACAAACATAACAAGAATATACGTTAACAGAACTAAGTTGAATTATATAATAGCTACAGAGAGCATTCATGGCTTTCTCCCAAAAAACATACGCCTTCGCCCATAGGTAGAATTGAGAAAACTTAAAAAAAAGATTGATTAGTGCATTGATCATTTTGTTTGTCAGTCTGTAAATAGAGCAGTGCAGTTTGAAATGTTCTGCACACTACATGCTTTTTACTGTAGATTCGTAATAGGAATATTCCAAAGCAAGCAAAATCTACCTTTTACTGTAGATTCATAAGAGGAATATTCCACAGCAAGCAAAATCCAACCAAGTCATGTCTCATGAATCAAGGAAAAGTGGAAAACCTAAATTTCAACCCCCAGTACCTTTGATGATGCAAGCGCATGTGACTTCTTATGTTGAGAAAATCATTAATCTAGTCACACATGGAAAACAAGCCTCAAATATTACATGTTAATAGTTTTCTCCTTGTTTCCGGGTAAAACTTTCTGATTATATCTTCTTTTCTTTTTGGCGATTACTTATTATTTATTAGATCTACCCATCACTTTTAGTTTTCATACCATTTCTAGTCAAAAGTCAAAAACAAAGATTTTGTCCCTTTCTAATGGTCATGGACAATTATCCCATCAAATTCAAATCTTCTCATGCAGAAGTGAATCGCTCAAATATCTTATGCTTGGAGACATCATTTACACCCAGCATCTAGGAAGCATGAATACTGAGATAAACATGGCAAGATAACAGAATTTACACTATCCATATGTAATTTGAAATGTCACATCGTGTCTAAAATAAGTGTCCAGCATGAACAGCTCCATAGCCATGCAGTTAGCTGCCACGCACCGCCCTATCTCCTCCCAATAAATAATTATCATCTCATAAATACAGTTTACAATACTCTACCTTCTTTGACTTAAATCCTTGATAAAACAACCCTCAAGAAGAGCAAAACGGAATAAGCTAGATAATTAACCATGCTAAAACAGCTACAGACATTATTTGTTGTATAACATCATGCCCTCCTTCACAAGCATTCAATATCTCAAAAGAATATCATATATCTTAATATGAATCTTAATTTATACCCAAAAATAAGATTAAGGCAAAAAGAAAGAACCATGCAAAGAATGAAAAACCCAAGGGAAAAATCATACTGCAACCACAAAAGTTCCACCTTTTCATTCATGGAAACAGCATCACACTTGCAAAGTAATAAAATCCATTTTGATCAGCAAAATCTTTCCACACACGTACCCTTCCAAATAAGGTACTTAGAATTAAAAGTTGAAATTTCCTAAGCATTCAAGTAACGCTAAGAATTTTCAATGCACGTTAGCCCAAAGTTGGACGCAATTTCATTATCAGAAACAAAAAAATACTAGTCTTTTAAATAATTTGGGTTTCCATCAAAATGAAAACAACCCAGTGAACTATATTTCACACATTATTTTGAAATAAGCAGTTGGAGGCAATGCATCATGAGAATTATAAGTATCTACGATACATTACCCAAATGATCCAATCCAAGTTTCTTATGTTTCTTGTACTCCATTCCTGCTGATTTGCCCCGCTTCCCAGATGAGAAGTCATTAGAAAGGGGAGCAGAAGATGAAATTGGCAAAGGTGACAATGCCATAGCCACAGACCCGTCGGGACCATACTTCCTTGGTCTACCTCGTTTCTTCTTGACTGCTGTTCCATCCATTCCCACACTCACTGGTGAAGCACCAACATTTGGTGCTGCTGGTGCAGCAGGAACTTGAGTCTGGCTCGGAGCCTCAGTTCTTGGTGCCACATGATAGGCTGAGGGAGCTTCCGCTCCAATTACCGTAACCCCTGAACTGATTCCTTCTCTTGCTTCCATAGATATAATTTATTTTCCCTTCGATGTTTATAGAATCAAACGAGCATCTGCAACATCAGAAATCCGGAATTTAGGAGGAAAAGAAATGGAATGCAACTGAAAACTACAGATTTGCTTTCGATAACCATCAATGCCTTCAACACTCTTAGAATGCTACAAGGGAAAAGTGAAATCCATGAAACGATTCTCGACCATGCCCAAGAAAGAATAAAACAGAGTAAACGATTTTGAGTTGAAACGACTGGGTCACTAAACTAGCGAAAATCCATTTCAAAGTTATGCGCTAAATCGCAGAACCGCAGGACACTAGGTCACAATCGTAGGACAGAAATGCAGTTTTGTTAGATCAAAGCTTGGTTTTCTCTTTGTTCTTGTCTCTGAAAAGCGGGCAGTTTCATCGCTCTTCAAATACCGAGCCAGATATTCACCAGAGAAGCACAGCACAACAGTAGAAGCGCAAAACGAAAACCGCCATTAAAGGCAAAATACGAAAAATTACCACAAATTAAAAATTAAAATTTAAAAAAATTACTGGTTTAACGGGGATGACGAGATGTTTCAGAAAACATAATTATTTTTTGCCCTGAAATCTGAGAAAGATAATTAAAAAATTAACAACTCTCACGCAACTGTTCGTTCAAATTTTGGTCTGAGAGAAACTCATTTATTACACCAACTATCTCTAATCTTCTGCTCCTCAGGCGAAACGCATCAGAAACTACCAAAGGCCTTTCAGAAACATAAAAACTAACTATATTAAAGATTTTTTCCAGAAATCTACTTCGTAGCTACCCTCTCCACCATCTTCAACTGTAGAAAACCCAAACCCAAGTAAATATTTAATAAACCAGAAAAAGAATTTCAAAAAATACACTTTTAAGACAAAACTCCATATTTTCCGGGAAAAACATTAAAATCAAGCTTCGGGAAAATATTCAGAATGCAGAGATCATGACCTGCCAGTGTGATTCCACACTTCAGCAAGCTTCTTCTAAGCAGTAAACCTGTACTTAGATTTCTTTTCACAGCTTCCAGAAACTAAACCAGCCAACCCCAGAAAATTAGAGAAACTATTATCAAACCGCAGGGAAAATACAAAACTGAAAAATAAAAGAGAATAAAGAGAGAGAAATGAGCAAGAAATAAAACTAATTGCAGCAGAAATTGAAAACAACTTACAAATTCCAAGAGGTGAAAAACCAGTTGGCTTGTTGGTTTTTCCAAAGCTGCTCGAATTGAGGGATGAAAAAAGGGGAAAAGGAAAAAGGGAAAAAAAAACGGAAAGCAGAATAAATCAGAATAAATCAAACACTTGTTACCACAGCATTAAAAAATTTCTCAGGGAGAAAAAACCAAAGAGAAAACGAGGATGAGTAATAAAGTATTTAGATACATATCTAGAATTTATATTTGAATAATAATTTGCTAAACCCGATAAATACAATTTGGTTAAGAAAAATTTCACGTCCGGGAGGGACAATTAAAATATATTAAAATAAAGTGATTTTTTTTAATTTGAAAGGCCTTTTTTTATTGATGGGTAATACCGTAAATTCGCACGAAAAATAAAAAGACATGAGAACGAAAGTGCTGGCTTTTTCTTTTTCACAATTTAATTTTTTTTTCTATTTAAAGCTGACTCGGACGGCCGACCTTTCTGTTGCGCTGACTTGTTGTCTGTTTTGTCCAAATTAAAGATCCCTTGATACAATGTGCCCTTCATTGCCCCTATTATTACCAGATATGCCACTGCAGTGAGATGTGTCTTTTTCTTCATGTTTCTTCCAACCCTGATTTAAATTTAACCGAAATTTCACGTTTTGTCGATGAAAATGCCAGTTGTATAACTTATTATATTTCATAGCTCTCATTAAAATTTCAAGATGATACTCCCTCCCCTCCGCAGCATTAATCAGTCCCAACTAATTCAACCGAAGTTTAAAAAAAATTGATAATTCAGTCATTAAATAAAATTCTGCGTTTAAACATTAATTATAAGAATAAAATAAACAAATAATTACTCTTCTTGTACTCTTTATGAGACAGAGAGAACATTTTTCTTATTCCTATTTATAAATCATTTTATTTAATTTTTATCATGAATACATTATATTATCCTTCATTTGTTATAGTGTAAATAGTTACTCCTCTCTTCCTATTTATATAGCAGAGCAAGAAGATATTTTTTGGTCTCGTTTGTAGGGTAATGAGAGAAATTTTTTATATAGATGTACAATTTTATTTTTCATTTATTATTGTATTAACTTTGTTTCTATGAAGTGTAATGTATACTACCTCCAGTTCTAATTATAAGAACTAATTGACTAATTTTAGTGGATTAAAGGAATAAGTTGAGTTAGTTATTTGTAATAAATAGGTGTTGTATTTCTTAAAATATCCTTGTTAATCAAGTATATTTATTAGAACTACTATTATTAGAATGACTACTTGGAAAAAAAATGTATAAATATGAGAGATAAAGTGGATTATGGTCTTATAATTAGAACCAAACTAAAAGCCAAATGAGATCTTATATTAAGGATAGAAAGTAGTATTAAATAGGAATAAAGATAAAAAATTATTAAATTTTAAATGAGAATTAATAAAACATATTAAAACTGACTTATAAATAATACCGGAAGATTTTTTTTTTTGTTGAATTGTGCATATACTCCTCCGGTCCTTATTATAAGACCCAATTTGACTTTTTATTTGGTCCTAATTATAAGACCCAATCCATTTTCTCTCTTATATTTATGCATTTTTTTCCAAGATAATCCTTCTAATAATGATAGTTTTAGCCAATATACTTAATTAGCAAGGATATTTTAGGAATAACAACACTTATTTATTATAAATAACCAACTTAACTTACTTCCTTAATATCCTCAAATAAGTCAATTGGGTCTTATAATTAGGACCGGAGGAGTATTAAATAGGGATAAAATTTAAAATTTGTTTTATTTTAAAACATGTTAATAGTGTCTTATTTATAAATAGGAGTAACAAAGTATTAATTATTTTGCAAGTCACTTGTATTGTGAACCAAAAAATTTTCCTAGATATGACTTATATTAAAATCTAAATAAAGTGCTCAAATTAATACTCTTTTAACACAACCATTATTTAATATAAACAATTTCAAATAAACTAACATTCTACGCAGTAATAATAATAAAGTAAAATAGAATACTCACATGAAAAATTAATGATGCCACTCATAATCAAAGCTAATAAAACTCTTTTTTTCTTATTTATAAATAGTATTAGAGGGGGGAAATTAATACTTTCAACATAAAAATATGGTACTTTATTTAAATATTTCAAAAAAAATTATTTTCTGCTTCCATATCATTTTTTTTATCTTTAGTTTTTGTTATCACAGCTCTATACAATAGTTTCAAGAAACAACAGTGATAGCAAATTTTGATCTCGGTCATCGAAATGGCACATTGTCATTGTGTACTAGTTTTAAAAAAGGAATTGCATCTAATTTTTTGTTGGGATGTTATTAACACTTTAATCCCAATTTTAATAAATTGTTAAGCTAGTGTTTAATTATTATCATTTTCAAAATATTTATGTATTTAAAGCATCAAACTCTCATTATTTTTCCTAAAAAATCCCAAACATCATTCATTCTTTCTTTTTTAATGTCAGCAAAGTTTAATTATTAGAAAAGGCGTAATTAATCAAAAATTTTCAAATATTATCCATCTCATGGCTTGCATGGGATAACATACCCAACTTACTTTTAAAAGATCATATCACAAAATGAATGTGATTGAATGAATTATCAAGCGGCTGAAATTTAATAGGAAACATGGTTTTAAATTTTTCCCTTTTTCAACTCTGAATTTTTAAATGACACAAAATACATCCACATTTCAGTGAAATGGCAGGAAAAGGTATTTTTTAATTTTTCTCACAGCGAATATATGTTAGGGTATAATTTAAATATGTGGAATATAATAGTATAATATAGGCTCAATAAAAGTTTATCTTAAAAAAGAAACGGTATATTTTATTACATAATAGAATCTAAAGGAGATACAGTAGCACGTGATAGTGGGGAATGGTCATTGGGGCAGGTGAGCTCTCACCCGTGAAAGAAAGAGATAATTAATATTTAATTATTATTATTATTAGTGTGTGTGTGTGTAAAGAAAAGCCTTATTATTATCTTGCCCATAAAGTCATTCCCTACTTCGCTTGCATCAACAAATTTAAAGATACGTTTCATCACATTATCCATATTATTAATTATTAATTATTAATTTATTGTTATTACTGGCTTGCCGGTGTTAATAATTCGATGTTGAGTTTGATTATTTTAAAATTTTAATGAAATCCGTTTTAAGTATTAAAGTTTCAATTTTTATGCTCAGATACAATCTTTGGCAATTTACGTCTTGACTTGAGGGCAACAATTAATTTTTTTTCCCGAACACGGACAGAAATTTAAACTTCATTGTTTATTTAAATTTCTTTCTTTTTTATATGAAAATAATTGCCTATACCTTTTTATTTTTAGCAGTGCTCCAAAAATTTAAAAAATAAAGTTCAATGTGGGACATTCATTAGTTATTAGTACTTGTTTATTTAAAAATTTTATTTTTTTATTTTGACATGTGATATTTTTTTTATTTAATGTATGTGTTAAATATTCCTTTTATAATAACATGTGTATGATCCTTCATAAAATATATTATATATGTTCAAATTTTATTTATAGTTAAAAATAATGGGTAAAATAGCATCCTAATTTTTTATGGTTCATCCAAGCATCTAATGATTTTTATTGGTTATTCCAATACTATAGTCTTATTTATAATTTAAAGTACTAGATGCATTCAAAAAATAAAATTAGAAGGTTAGATACTACTTTACCCAAAAATAATGTAACCTTGTCATAAATATGAATCTCATTTATCATCAATATAAGTTTTATAAAAACATAACAAATTTATAATTAGAGAGAAACACTAATAATTGTATATTTATATATACACAGTTATTTTTTAGGAGAATTCTCAAAAAAATACCTCTAAAATTTTAAAATCTCAAATCAAGAATAACGACAAAAATATTTTGTCATTTGTTTTTCAACTGTTATTAATTATTATTAAAATGTAGCGCAAAGGTATTTTTTTGGATTCTCCCTTTTTTTTGCCAACATTTTTATATATATAATTATGTACTATATTGATTGATTTATTAATTAATAGATATATTTAGATTAAAAGTCACATTTAGAATCTGCCGACGCCGCAACGTCCCCACAATGTTCTTTCTTCCATGACAGCTGAAGTAAAATTTCAATCTTCAAAAGCAAAATAAATAATTTTAGTCTCTTTCTCATTTCAACATATTAATTTTTAAATAAAACTCCGTATTAAGAATGTTATGTAATTAACTTTTTGAATGAGAATGGCATCTTTATTCAACCTTTTTCTTTCATAATATATATCAAACACAATCATGGAGCTTTGATTTTTTTTATGAAGAATTTTGTTTACTTTATTTGATATCATTATTACCATATCCTCAAAATATATTCATTTCCAAAATCGAAGATTTATGTCCTTAAGATTTTGTTCAAAAGGAGTACAATATTCTCAACTTGTTTCTAATATATTAAAATAATAATTCATTAAAAAACCAATATGTGAATTGTAATTAAAAAATTGCGGCTCTGATATACTACTTTCAATCCTTAATATAAAATCATAATCCACTTTGTCTCTCATATTTATGTATTTTTTTCCAAAATAATCCTTCTAACAATGGTAGGTTTAGAAAACAAACTTGATTGGCAAGGATATTTTAAGAAAAACAACACCTATTTATTACAAATAACTAACTTAACTAAGTTCTTTAATCTCCTCAAATTAGTCAATTGGGTCTTATAATTAGGATTGGAAGTAGTATTCTATTAAACTTGTTAAGTTTTTTTTTTAATATAATTATCTAACTTATCAAGTTCAAGCATTATTGTCCAAGTGTTTGAGGTGTCTGTTGATTCCCACCAACTCAAACCAGAGCATTGTGTTTAAATAACCAAAACGAGTTCCATTATGACCAGTGCCTATTAGAGTCTTAGTTTAACTTAGTAAAGTTATTCAGGAATATATTGACTGCAAGGCAACAAAAAAGAGTTTTTTTTTTAAGTGAGAAATATTCAGTTGAGGGATTTTTTAAAAATGAGAAAAGTGAAATAATTACAATAGCAATAAGCACGCATAAATATTTCCTCCAGTCCTATTTATAATAT